GGGTGGCTGCTGCCCAGATTGCCCCTCAGCAGCAGGGGGAGGTGGAGAAGCCCTCAGAGGGGATCAGGGCTGGCAGCTGCTGCTCACACCTGCTGATGACACCTAGTGATTGGGGCTGGCACTGGGCACCAGCAGCGGGTGCAAGTGGCAGTTTCAGTGCTGTCTGTGGGTGCAAGCAGGGCCAGCACTTGCAGTGGGTGGGAGAGGTGGCTCTGGCACCAGCAGCGGGTGTGAGTGGGGCCGGTGCCAGTAGAAGGTGAGAGCACTGGGCAGGACTGCAGCACACAGTAGCAAAGAATTTTCAGTAATCACCAGAGGCTTGCCCCGATGACAGTGACCTGTGCCTCTCCTTGGTCTGGTGCCTCTGCTCACCTGCTCCACCATCCTGCTGTGGCCAACACCCACCATGTTCTGCACATGCCCCTTAGTGGTCAGCGCATGTCATAACTACTGGTTGTTCAGTTGTTCTACTGTTTGGTCTATTTGCATATTAGCCTTTTATTATATAGAATAGTTGTTATATATCTTATATTGATTATATTAATTTCAGGTGTATAGTAAAGTGATTCAACATTTTTATACCATAAAATGTGATCCCCACTAATCCTAGTAATTGTCTGTCACTCTGTAAACATCACAATATTATTGATTATATTTCTCTTCCCTTTTTCACCCAGCCCCAAAGCCTTCCTTCAGGTAGCCACCTCTGTGGTCTCTGTTTCTAGGAATGTGCTTTTGCTTTGTTTGTTTACTTCTCTTCAAATTAGATTCCAAATATAAGTGAAACTATATGATATTTGTCTTCCTCTGTCTGAGTTATTTCACTTAGCATAATACCCTCTAGATCTATCCATGTTGTGTTATTTGTTCCTTGCACTGACCCAGGATTAAGGGTGGTAAGCACAATGAAAATGTTGGAACATAGGCTAAATTCCATATACTTGTTTCATATCAAAGCCATTAAAATGCAATGTAATTTAGAAGGGATGCCTCAAGTATAATCACTTCTCAAGTAAATACAATAATTTATTTTTTTCTAGTATATTTTTATTGATTTCAGAGAGGAAGGGAGAGGAAGAGAGAGATAGAAACATCAATGATAGAGAGAATCATTGATCGGCTGGCTCCTGCATGCCCCCAACCTTGGCATGTGCCCTTGACTGGAATCGAACCTTGGACCCTTCAATCTGCAGGCAGACACTCTATACACTGAACCAAACTGGCCAGGCAGGTATAATTGTTGTGCCCAGATTTCAAGATTCCCAAGGGCCCACCAGGGAGACAGCGAGTCTGATGCAAAAGCAAAGAGTCATTTATTTCAAACCTAGGTTTGGCTCCCCTGCCCCCCCTTACTGGCACAGCAGCAAGTGGCAGAGAGAGAGCAAACTCTGTGTGGAGAGAAGTTTTATAGGGGGTTGGGGTAAGGGGAGGAGAAAGGACTGTGGGCCCTGCCGATTGGCCAGGCGCGAGTCGGTGTTTCATTACACAGGATGTGGTCATAGTGATGACGTGCACTTCCCTTGACTATCATTGGCCAGTCCAGAGAAATCCTGGGTGTGGCCAGCAGCGGCTTGGCTTCCCGGAAGAAGCCTTGCTGAGCACATGGCCAAGGTAAGATGGAGGGCATAGCCCTTACCCTGGGGCAGGGTGGAGGGCGTAGCCCTTACCCGGGGGGAAGGTAGAGAGCATAGTCCTC